TAAATATCTTTTATCTAACTTGAGATTCCCTTCTACACACACACACACACACACACACATACACACACACACACACCACAAACACACTTTCTGAAAAATTTTGAGCCTCTATGTTCTACCTTATTCATGCATATAGAGCAAGTGGCTAAAAATGGGCCTTATACATGCAAGACAAACAGTAAATATCTGTTAGATTAATAAATGACATAAATGACATGTGAGCATATATTTTGAGTCATTGGACTCTTCCAGTCAAGGCACAAAGACATAATTCACATTAAAGGCATTTAAATTGGACTCAATGAACCAACTTGTTAGTGAGGCATCATGCTGCCCTTGGTTTGGTTTCCTTAGCAGCCAATTGGGATCTTTGTAAAATAGTTTATAGGCTTTCTTCTTAGCCAAATTTCTGGCTGTATTCATCTATAATCTGCAATATCATGTGTTTTGTAAACCAAAACCCTAGCTAAAGCTGAAATTGATACCCTACTGCAATTTGGTTATACTAGACCATTTTTATTTTTTATTTTATTTTTTTGATATGTACCCCCAGCGGGATCCAAACCCGGGACTCTCTGGTCCGCAGGCCGATGCTCCAACAACTGAGCCAAACTGACCAGGGCACTAGACCATTTTTAAATAATAAAAGTTTTACAATGAATAAGTTTGCAGTATAGCTGTTATCCAGGTAACTACGTCTAGTGCAGGCAATGAGCAGGTAACTAAAAGTCCCCGATGCCAGGTGGTTTAAAACAGAAGGTCGCAGGGAGTGCGAAGAAGGGGAAAGCATAGGGGCTGAAGGTAGCACATCAGCTGGATGACTGCAATCTTAACATAGCTCAGATGAGCAACAAGCGTGAAGTCAGTCGGGGAGCTGCTGTACACGCAATGGTTTTCTAGCTTTGCTGTCTTCAAAAGACCCAGTGTTGCGACTACATCCTAGAATATGATATCCGAACTTCAGGGGCCCAGGCATTAATGTAATTTTTGGACTCCTCAGATGATTCCAAGGTACAGCCAAGGTTTCCCCCGACTGCTCTCATTGAAAGTGACATAAATGCAAAACCCTGGACTTGGAGAAAAGCACATGTTGGTGGTGAGCCGCCAGCATCTGTGGATGGCTTTGCTGTCATTCCTCAAGAGGTGGAAGTCTCTCTTGTAGACCACATGTGGGTTATGACAGGAGCTACATTTTTAAACCCTATTCATGGCAAATGTTTATATCAGAGAGTTTGTCTGGTTTAGGATGAAAAATATGACCTGGCTTAGGATGCAAAGAAGGAAAGTGTGGAAGCTGAGTGGATACCTCGAAGGGCAAGACAGTCCGCTTCCCCTGTGCTGGGAACAGAGACTTCCTTATAGACACCCAGGTAGACGAGAAAGCACAGCAGACGTGGTTTGCATTGAATAAAGATCACAGATTCTTCTTAATCACCACCTTCCCTTTTTATGGAGTAAGTGTGAATTATCGGCAGTTTCATCATTTGTAGTCGGAGCCTGAAGCAGATGTTGAGGTTTAGTTTAAAATGATGTGTGTCTCTTATAACAACCTGCAATGTGTTCCCTAAGGACTATTTACCTTCCACATTCCATAAACCCAGCGCGAGGAAGCTTATTCCTAAAAGCGTTTGAGGTAAATTAAGCACAATGAGTGCAACTTCCTTTAGCGATAACATTTAGTGGAGTTACTACAGGGCTTCCTGTGTCTGCTTTGAGTGGGCATTTGCCTGAATGGCTTTGTTTAACAAGCTTTCGTTCCCTGGCTTATGTGATTTAAAGTGCTATTACAACTATTTGTCCTTAGGAGTTTCACCACCAACATGTGGCAGCCACAGTTTGACTTTCTTGATATTTAAACGTATCAACAGATTTTTATCAGCTACGATCAATTAAAATCAAATAGCCAGTCATACTAAAATGTCAATAAAATATGAAGTATTTAGGATCAACCATTATGAGAACTATATGGCACATAAGAAAAAACACTAAAATTTTGTTAATACGGAGAGAGCAATACATACCACATTTCTTAATGGCAAAACAATATTTCAAAGAAATAAATTCATCCCAATTTAATGTTTTGGTTTAATGTGATTTTAATTAAATTTTAGCTAGATTTATTTAGACTTCAAAACACAATAACCATTTGAAAGAATAAATAAGCAAGAAAGTCTAAGAAAAAAAGAGAGCCTGGTGTTAGAAAGACTGTAAATACAAACTGTAACACTGGTAAAAAAAAAAAAAAATCGACCAATTAATAAAGCAAAATAGATAACCCATCATTCATATTATTTTTTTGTGATAAAGGAAACAACAACTGTTAGAGAATGGAGGACTATTCATTAAATGATTGCAGGCAATACATGATTATCTAGAAAATTATAACATTTAATTTTTAGTTCATACCATGTATCATGATAAATTCTAGCTATATTAAAAGTTTATATAAAAATAATATTGTAAAATGCTATACATAATATGAACATTCTTCTGATATCTGAATAGAAGGTTTCACAAACATTTAAGATATAGTTTTAAAAATTATAAAGAAAAATTCCTATATTTTTCTGCATAAAAATAAAACTTTTTTGTTCATAATAACATCAATGAAAATGAAAATACATTTTTAGGACAATATTTGTTATAAACATGATGGATATGATTTTTATCTTGAATTATGTAACAGAAATGTTATTTTTTCCCCTGTTAATTCCTATTTCTGATTGGTGACACTTCATCTAAATACTCAGCCATGAATCGTAAAGTCCTAGAGAGTAAAAGGGAAATATCTCTAGAGAAAGGATATGTGCACTCCTTTTGACCCAAGGAATTTTGGGAATGGCAAAGAAGATAGAAGTAGAGAAGGTAGACTTGTGAATTATCCATCACTATCTCCCACTCTATCCCCACATCCCTTGAGTCTGCTTCTTGGGGAGCAAATTTAAAACGTCCAAGAGGTTATGGAGTAGACCATGTGGTGAGTGCCTTGCAATGCGCTGGAGAAGTACACCTGGTGCTGGAGTGAGGGCTCAGAAGTGACGTCAGACCGTGAGAGAGACACTCAGGAAGTGCTTCTGGGTCCCACCAGCTTGTGCATGTCAAGCAAGGGACACAGAGGTGCCCGTGTGCCTACTGAGGAAACAGAAAAGTACTTGGACTGGGTGAAGAGGCCACGGTAGGCAAGGGTTTATCAACCGGTGGCAAATGGCCAGAATCAGGGACTCCCATGAAGGGTGTCGGCACATTAAGCTCAAACTACTCACTGGGACAAAAGTCAGGATCTATCTGAGGACTCATTACCTCTGAAGTTATGAGATCATAGGAAGTAGAGGCGGCTTGAGAGCACAAAAGGAAAATGACCTGTGAAGATGAGAGTATCTGGAGGTAAAATAGGGGGCTTACAATCACTTCCTGTATCTGTAACATGAGCACATTTTTTTAATCTAATCACATGTGTTGCCTAACTGTATATTTCTAAAGACAAAAGCGTTAATCTCCTGGGAGGTGAATCACTGGGGGCCTGGAGTGAGGACACATAGACCTCTTACGATGACCTTCTTCCTTTACTGCTCTATCCCTTCTTTCTCACACCTCTTGTCCTGGAAGAGAAGGTTCGTCCATTCTCTTTGCTGTCTCCTCCAGTGCTATAGCAGGAAGCCTCCTGGGTTAGCTCTCGTATGAAGGGCACAGGTGGGAATTCTCTCCAAAATCCATGGAATAAATACATGTTTCTACATCCTCCAGGTGTACCTAACTCAGAGCTCTGGGATGTGATAAGGAAGTAGGGATCTTTGAGAATAAAAGTGATGTGCTTTACCGGCTTCTAAATATTATCTCCATTAAAAATAGCCTTAAAGAACCCATGCTAAGTGATAAGCATCCCCCAAAGAAAAGCCAGAAAAAGCTGAGCAAGAAATTCTCAAAAGAAGAACTAAACGCATTACTTCACATTTAAGCTCACTAGTAAACAAAGATGTGCATTTAAAAACACAAGACTTTATTAAACTGACAATTAAAAGAAGATAGTTCCCAATGTTAGAGAGAATGCTCTGAAAGATAATTTTTACATAACGCTTCTGGCAATGTTAATTTGTTCAAAATATTTTCAAAGCAATTTGGTGATACATTTTTGTAGTCTCCAAATTATCTCCTAAGATCATATTTTTTAAGATTAGAAAAGAAAAGAAATATGCTTTTAAGCAAAGCTAAGTAATTCTCCCTGGCATCAACCACTGTTGACCGTAGGTGCCTAAGCGGGGTTGGTGAGTCTTCTACCTGGCGTTTCATATGGTCCCATCCGTGTCCACCAGGCATTTATACCAGTGACTGAACACAGGCAGCGGTGATAGGGATGTCGTACTGAGAGTTTTAAGTAGCTCTAGATTTTCTGCTTCAACTGGAATTCTATGTCCATTTTTTCCCCCAAACATATGTAAATAGTCAAACACAAAACAGCAAAACATTGAGTGAAAAATAAGATTAGTAAAATTGTTTCTCAAAGAATATTTAAACTTAGCAAGTCAGTGAATGGTAACAAATGGTCAAAATCTTTTCTTGAAAGATCTAGCAATGTGTTGCCCATATAATAGTTCATGAAGATTTTGTAAAAGAAGCTAACAATACCAATGACATGAAAAATTATCCAAAGGAAGATGAAATCCCAGATTAAGGTGGCAAATGTTCAAGTGAATCACTGTCTCCTCTGACAAGTGACTTCCCAGGGACAACATTAGCATCTCAGAGAAGCAACCAGACAGCCCTTCTTTCTTCAATTCCATGATGCTTTCTTCACTAGGGAATTAGTGCAAAGTTATCATCACACATAAAGAACAAAGGATTCAGAAAGATTCAACAGACTCAGAAAAACACTATCTTCATACCTTCAACTTTTCTCCAGGAAACTTGATCTATACCTGTCTATATCCATCTATATGTATATGCATATGCATATGTATATCTATATCTATTTTGACTTTTTAAAACTGAAATTGTATAAAGAGACCCTTACCTGGCAGGGGAGACACCATGATCAGGAAGGTGGTTTTCCCAGTGAGGTTCACCCATTGCACTCTGGGTGTGCTGACCCCTGCGGTTTCCCCAAATGTGAGAAACTCGACTGCATCATTTGTGGTAGTGGGAGACTGAATTCACATTGTCCCCTTAAAAATCGTAAAAATATATTTTCCCTGGGATCTTACATGAAGCTAATAAAGGGGCCCTTTAAAAAGAAGTGCACGTTTATCTGCTTTATAAAATGTGGCCAAGAGAACTCTTGTTCCAAAGCTGGATTCCTTTAAGCTAAATGAAGTATTCTTTCTCTTTAATGCTATGTTTTTCTATGAAATATTAAAGTCTTTGGTTCTCCAGTGTAGGATTTTCCAGAAGTAGAGAGGACGACTGAAAAACATTTTGTTGTCAGACTTAAGAAGTGTTTGTTATGAAGCCCTTATGTTTAGGATTAACAGCACAGAATGCTAGCGAGCCTGTCGATGCCTTTATTTTACCAGTGAGAGCCCAGAGGCTCTGACAGCACAAGCCATGTTTTGGAGTTTATCCGGCTAGTCAGTGCCAAGGCAAGATCTTACCAGGGCTTGTGATTATGGTTTATTCCATAGCTTCTCTAGCCTAGGAATATCCACTGTGCTGCAAGAATGATGGCGTTCCTTTTTCCGCTTGCCAGGCAATGCTGCACACGTGGTAAATGACTTCAGGATGCGTCTGATGAAGGGGAGGTTGAAAACGAATGTCTAATATTTCAAGCCATATGTGCCCCTCCCCACTTCCTCAGTTTCTTTGTCCTGTCTAAGATCACTGACCTGATCCTGGTCATTGCTTTATATCTCATACAAGCTTGTTGTGTGATTTCAGGGAATTCGATTGTTTTTGTGTGCAGAAAAAACAGTTTAAATGAACTCAAATCTTTCCGTGACTTTTTACCAGCACTCATCATTTTATATCTATTATTACATTAGATAATACATATGAAAGGACTTAACTCAGTGCCTGCTGAACAGATATAATCCAGTTGATGATGATAATAAGCATTTATTTTATAACGCTGATTCTTCTAGTAGTCCTGGGACTTTGGTAACTTCCTTCCATGGTGTTTATGATCCAAACCAGGAAGTTCCCACACTATATAACTCTTAAAATTCCAGGAGAGTGGAGCGTTATTTTATTTTATACATTTTTAATCGTATATTATTATTTTTAATCCTCGCCTGAGGTTATGTTTTGTCTTGTTTTGTTGTTTGTTTTTCATTGATTTTAGAGAGATAGGAAGGGAGAGAGAGAGAAACATAGATCCATTGTCTCCTGTGCGTGCCTCAACCAGGAATCCAACTGCAACCTTTCGGTGTACAGACGATGCTCCAACCATCTGAGCCACCCAACCAGGCCGAGATTACTTATTTTTTTACTGATCATCCCTAGCACCGATAGCAGTACCAGGCACAGCGTAGACTCTCAAAACACAATTCCCATTGAACAAATAGATGAGTGTGGGCAAAGGAACCATGTCATAACATCGACCTTGAGTCTAGCTCTGATGCTTAAAGCCCAAGCTCACAGATGAAGCAGCTGCCCAGGTTCGTGGATGGAACGTATTCCTTAGGGGCCAGCAGTCTGATTACGAAACACAGTTCGTGAGAGGTGTTTCTTTTCACAATGTTAAAGGAATGTAGGACAATGAGAAATGTCAGTAAGGATTTCTATGACATCACTTCAATTGTGAGACTTTTTCGGACTAATTCCTATTCCAGTCAAGATGGCTTGTCTTATATTTTGGGCTGAATTTTTTTCATAGATATTATTATTTTGTAATTGAATAATACTGGCCTCAAACCCAGCAACAAATTTGGTACAGTTTCATTGACTGGAAAATCATGGATCTTGGATCCTTTCTCCATTAGCCAGCATAATTTTATCTTTCCTTTTCTTTTTTAAAAATTGTCTTTAGAGGAAGTCCTCAAGGAACAAAGATATTTTTTAAAAGAGAGCATTTAATTTACCAATCTAATTCAGACTGTTTAGAAATGAACGTTAATGAGTAATAGTTTTAGAAATGTGCCCTTAAGATAATTTAAAGAGTAATGATTAGATATACTAAGTTAATTTGAATTCTTTGAGTTAATAAAAAGCCTGTAATGCCCAGTCAATGTGCCTCAGTGGATTGAGCATCATCCCATGGACTGAGAGGTCCCAGTTTGATTCCTGGTCAAAGCACATGCCACCAGGCTGGTGTGGCTCAGTGGTTGAGCATCGACCCATGCACCAAGAGGTCGCTGGTTCGATTCCTGGTCAGGGCACATGCCCAGGTTGTGGGCCTGATCCCCAGTGGGGGGCATGCAGGAGGCGGCCAGTCGATGTTCTCTCTCATCGATATTTTTATCTCTCTCTCCCTCTTCCTTACTCTCTCTCTAAGAATCAATAAAGAAAAAAAAAAAATGTTTAAAAAAAAGCACATGTCTGGGTTGCAGGCTTGATCCCCAGTAGGGGGCATGCAGGAAGCAGCCAATTAATGTTTCTCTCTCAGATCGATGTTTCTATCTCTCTCCTTTCCTCTCTCTTAAAAAAAAAAAAAAATCAATAAAAACACCATCTCTATATATTTAAAAGCCTGTTATTAACAGAGTGTTAGGAAGCTATTTCAATTTCAATACATATTTTTAGGCACCAGTATTGGTTTGGGCTCAAACCTGTGAGATTATAATGGTGAGGATGTCATCTGTGTTATGGGTCTGTATAAAAGCTAATGCGGGATAGAGCTGTGCTACCCACAGAAGTACAACGTAAGCTACAAACACCATTATTATTTTTTTAAATATATTTCTTTATTGATTTTCAAGAGAGAGGAAGGGAGAGGGAGAGAGAGAAAACGTCGATGAGAGAGAACATTGATTGGCCACCTCCTTATTGCCCCCCCTGGGGAATGGGCCCACAACCTGGCAAGTGCCCTGACCAGGAATCCAACCAGTGACCCCCTGGTTCATGAGTCGATGCTCAACCGGTGAGCCACACCAGCTAGGCCAAATACCATTATTTAATTTTAAATCTTCTAGATTAAATCTTCTACATTAAAAAGATGAAATTAATTTTAATACTATATTTAACCCAAATATCTACAATATTACTTTTCATCAGGTGATCGGTATAAAAAAAAAACAACTATTTTTCTTAGTCTGTTGAGGCTGCTGTAACAAAATGGTACAAACTGAGTGGTTTATAAACAATGGAAACTGGTAACTCAGTTCTAGAAATGTGCCCTTAAGATTTTAAAGAGTAATGATTAGATATACTAAGTTAATTTGAATTCTTGGAGTTAATAAAAAGCCTGTAATGCCCAGCCAGTGTGCCTCAGTGGATTGAGCATCATCCCATGGACCGAGAGGTCCCAGTTTGATTCTAGAGGCTGGACGTCCAAGTCAGGTTGCTGGCGCGGTCAGGTGAGTCCTGGGGGCGAGGACTTCTCGTTGTACCCTCACGTGGCAGAGGGAGCATGAGCTCCGCTCTGGGGTCTCTTTGGTTAGGGCACTGATCCCAGTCATGAGGGCTCCACACTCATGACCCAAGCACCCCCCAAAGGCCCTACCTCCTAATACCTTCACATTGGGCATTAGGATTTCAACACATGAATTTGGCGGGGGGACATAAACATTCAGACCATAGCGCTATTAATGATATGGTTAAAATTTTTTAACACGAAGCTTTCAAAGTTTCACTTTAGACAGTCACGTTTCAAAGACTCAAAAACCACCTGTGGCTGGTGGCTACTGTCGCGGACAGCACAGGCTGAGACGCTGGAAGATTGTGGAGCTGGACAGTTCTGGGTATATTTCCTGCTTCAATCATTTACTAACTGAGACACCGAAGAAATTTAAACTTTCTAAGTGCCAGTTCCAGAAACTATAAAATGGGAATAATTTACAGCTATACTATTTTTGTCAAGATTAGAAATGATATGTATAAAACATGTACTACAGTGTTGAGAACTCAGGAGCTATATTACTTCTTGAGGAAACTGAAGTTTCAGTGCTTGAAACCTAATTTCTATTAAATGTAACTCCTATTACCATCATTACTTTATACCTTTGAAATTGCAGAAAAACTCTCTTAGCTTAACTTTCTTCACCAAGAAAGAAGCCAATGTTGCATAGACGTGTGGACTGAAGCCCCTGATTGTGAAACACCTGAAAGGTGACCCCATCAGCACACAAAAGAGAGAGAGTACCATTGTCACTGTGAAATATGCACGTGTCATCAGGTAGTCCACTTTCTCCATTATAGATCGCAAGAGAGGTGACAGATGATATATTCATTTGGGGGGGGGGTGTATTTTGTATTATCTTTATTAAAAGGCACATAATACCTTGATAAAATAATGTAATTTATTCTGAAATAAATTAAAGCATTTCTAGGCACTCCAAAAATTCACTTCCTTTCATTTCAATTCACATTCATATCTCAATCATTCCATCTAGATGCGTATGTCTGACTTCTTCTGGCCACCATTCTCAGGAAGGCCAGATCTGCGTAGCTCTGAGAGAAGAGTGTGAATTTATACGTCTAGAAAGGATGTGAGGAGACTCTGGAGGGACAGAGATTGAAGATTTAGTTTGAAAACGTAACAGCAGAAGAAAGCACATTTGCTAGTCATACTTGAGCACAGTTGGCTTGATCTACATCATAGAATGCTAACACAGTCCACAAAGACAAATATACTTTAAACCTTGCAAAGTGTTCTCATGTTAATGATCTTACATGATCAGAAGTACACACACACACACATTTATATGGATAAACATTAACTGAGGTATGGTAAAACATGCTTGTTTAGTCTTCATTACCCAGATACTTAACACTATACAAAAAGAAAACATTTTTTTCTATGAGAATGCAAAGGCAGATGACAGATTTTTGAAAAGCCTAGCATTGTTATACTATGACAACTCAAAAGAAAATAGATTCTTCTCAGTGAATTTTGTGAAGACTCAGCCTAAGGGACTTTAATGTCAACCACCCAAGTTTTAAAACAGAGACCTACATTTTGGATGCCACCTTTGTTGCGGGGGGAAATGGGGTCCTTCCACAGAGTGGCAAGAACGGGAGGGTAAGGTGTAGTGATAAGATTTATTGGAATAGAAAACAAAGACCATCCTCAGGT